CAGAGAAGGAATCAAAATATCAGAAAAATTTTGGGAAGGAAAACCAAAATGAGTAATCAATCACATCTCCCTCTAAAAGGATAAGAGGAAGGGGATAGAGGTGACAAGCATATGGTAGGAAGAGGCATTAACAGTATAAACCAGAAAATACTTAAAATTAGTCTTGTAACATCTAGGTAAGCATTTTTTCAAAATGGATATTCTCACTAGCACATAGATGGGTATCTCACAACCTATTTTCTTCATAAGTCTAAACTTCAAGGCAAAGGTAGCGTTCCATCCAAGCAAGATCCTGGGTTGCCAGGGTGCTCAGTGATTCTTCTTCCCAGTTAGGAGAAGTAAAAAGAACAAAGAGAATTAATCATAAAGAAGACTGAAAAGGATAAAAATAATAACAATAATAATAGCTAGTGCCATACATTGTGCTAAATCCTTTACAAATATTACTTCATTTAATCTTTACAAGAACCCTGGGAGAGAGGTGTTATTATTATCCTCATTTTTCATTTGAGGAAACTGAGGCAAATAAAGGTTAAGTAACTTGCCCAAGGTCACAAAGCTAGTAAATATCTAAGACCAGATTTGAACTCAGTTCTTCCTGACTTCAGGCCCAGCACTTTATCTACTATGCTTTTTTGACAATAACAAACTTTTTTTTAAAACTATCTTCAAAGACACAAAGGTTTATTATAAAAACTGAATGGGAATCAAGACATTTTCCATTTTCCCTAAGGGTAAGACAAAAAGAATCTGAGTCGCAGAAGTATGGGGAGAGGCTGCAGAATCTTCTTTTTCTAATTGTCATTTTATCAAATAACCAATCAAGCAAGTATTTATTAAATGTGCCAGATGCTGAGCTAGTCACTGGGGACACAAAGGTAAAAATGAAATAATCTCTACTTGGGGCACCTAGGTGGCTAAGTGGATAGAGCACTGGCCCTTAAGTCAGGAGGACCTGAGTTGAAATCCGGCCTCAGACCAAACACTTGACATTTACTAGCTATGTGACCCTGGGCAAGTCACTTAACCCCAACTGCCTAAAAGAAAAATCTCTGCTTACATTCTAAAGGGAAAAAATACATAGGCAGATATAAAACATATGTACAAGTATGTGTAAACACATATAAGATAACCCACAAACCTTATTTTCCCAGAGTAATGTCTGTTGCATTTCCTCCTAAATTCTAATAGTACCTCTGATTCCCCATTCCAGTGTATCCTCCCTATTGTTAATCACCAGTAACTAGTGTCCCAATTCTATTTATGGCTACTATTATCCCCATTTTTCAAATGAGGAAACAGAGTCTGAGAAGTTAAGTGACTTGCCTGGGGTCACACAACTAGAACTGTATGATTCAGGATTCAAACTCAGGTCTTCCAAGTCCAACACTGTACCACCCAGCTGTTCTATATAATGAAGTGTTAAATTGGGTAGAAAAGACTCTAAGTAATTAACAACAGAACAGACATATCTGTCTAGAATGAGTGAGGTGGAGTCCTCCTTGGTGTGATTATGGAACTTGGTTATTACCAAATTAGAACAAAGCACTTCTCTCTCCAGCCTTTCCTGTCAGCAACTCCAATAAATTATATGTATAAATTATTGAAGAAATACAAGTGACTGAGACCATGGATTTGGGGTGAGAAGGCCTTCTGTTTACTGTGTAATCTTGGACAAGTCATCTTAACTTCTCCAAGTAGTCTTTTCATCATTTGTAAAATGGGGTTAATAACATTTGCATGATTCTAGCCTCTCCCTGCCATCCTGAGGGTAGTTGTCTTGAATGAGGCCTAGGCCCATGAGAAACAAGGGATCCATGGTTTGGGTATCTCTCAAGGGTTCTTTTATGCCCCACAAGGTTAATAGTAGCCTTAACCCTGAGGTGTGTTCTAACACCAGTCACCAGTCATTTCAGTGCTAGGTTATGCTCAAGAAAAACCATCACTAAACCCAGCAAAGCATGTGACTAATTCATAATAACAATAACAATAATAGTTAATATTTACATAGCACCTACCATGTGCCAATTACTTTATAAATATTATATTGTTTGATCCTCACAATAACCCTGGGAGGTAGATGCTATTATTATCCTCATTTTTACAGATGAGGAAACTGAGGCTAAAGTCAAATGACTTGCCCAAGGTCACACAGCTAGGAAGTGTCTGAGGCTGGATTTGAACTCAGGTCTTCCTGACTCCAGGCTCAGCAATCTGTCTACTGTAGCTAGCCGCCCCAATGAATTTTTTCAGCTCATTTTCCTTTTTAATTTTCTTCGGGTTCAAAAAGGAAAAAGTCCAGCAGGCGCAGAGAACCTGAGGCCTGGAGGCCACATGTGCCCTTCTAGGTCCTTGGGTGTGGCCCTTTGACTGAGTCCAGCAAATCCTTTTATTAAAGGGGATTTGTTCTATGAAGTTTGGATTCAGTCAAAGAGCCGCACTTCAGAACCTAGAGGGCCCTATGTGGGCTCAAGGCCGAAGATTCCTGGTCAGGGAGTATGATCTAAATACAGGAACTCTGAAACATCACTATTAATTAGAAATGCCTTCTCTCCCTCATTAGCTCTGCTCCCAGCCAGCCAGCCTGAGTTTTGCCTTCTTGTCAATCCCACTGCAAGCATTCATGGTCAGACAAAGTCACATTAGATGAGAGACAAACAGAGACAGAGACACAGAGAGAGACAGAGAAAGTGTATTTTTAAATAACAGCTTCAAATAGCATAGAAACAAGAATAAGCAATTAAAAGAACACTCCCAACATAGGCTGCTTTGCTTGCTACAGAGAAGGGACAAAGGGCTTTCTTCCCTCCATACCCCTCCTTCTACCAAGTTGGAAGGAAACAGGAAATAAATGGTTGAACAGGTAAAAGGGGACTGCCTTTTGCTGCTTCAGGAACAGAAGAGAAAAGAAAGTGTCCTGGGCCAGGTTTGTGTGCTTGCCCTAAGGTGTACTGGTTCTACCCACTCTCACTGGTACCCATCCTTCAAGGTCAAGGGTAGGCCAGAAGGATTTGGGGTGCTCTGGATAATGCCAGTTCACCTGCCTAAGGGCAGATCCTTCCAACCTACCAAATCTACATGGTAATGGCTTAGCAAAGGAAGCTATGTGCTTGGAAACAAAAGCTAAACTACTTAATTGACCAGAAATATTTTGAGGCTTAATGAAAGAACGTATTTCAAAACTTTTTAATATCTTAATGACACAGATGAGGAAAATTAAACCACTACATTATTGAACAGGGTGGGCATGTTTTACCCCAAGACATGAATATGAATTTATGAGCTTCAAATGTTCTGTGTAGGGGGCAACTAGGTGGTGCAGTAGATTAGAGTGCCAGCCCTGGAGCCTGGAAGACCTGAGTTCAAATCCAACCTCAGGCACATAACACTGGCTAGCTATGTGACCCTGGGCAACTAACTTAACCCCATTGTCCCATTAAAAAACAAACAAACAAACAAAAATGTTCTGTGCTAAGTAATAGCTATATGTTGGATAAGCCTTGAGGGTCTTAGCTAAGGAATATAGTCACAAACATAATTTGAATTTATCCATGTCAGGTCTGTATATTTAACCATCCCCTTATATACAGACTACATGTGCAATGGTACATAGATGGAGATGGAATGTCATGGGGGAAGAAATAGTAAGTAAGTTGGTTTGACTGGATTGTAGGGATTGAAGGAGTTTGAAGGTAGGCTGAAGCCTGACCAGGGGTGGGGAACCTGGGCCCTGGAGGCCACATGTCCTTCTCTAGGTCCTTATGTGCAGCCCTTTGACTGAGTCCAAGTTTTACAGAACAAATACTTTTATTAAGGAGATTTGTTCTCTGAAGTTTGGATTCAGTTAAAGGGCTGCACTTGAGGACCTAGAGAGGGACATGTGGCCTCAAGGCTTCAGGTTCCCCACCTCTGAGTCAGACTATTGAGCCAGGCAATCTGCTGAATGAATGACCTCAAGAGAATTTTGCTTTGCACCTCCCTCATGCCTAAATATATGTTTACACATCATCTTCCTACTTAAGCTTATAAGCTCCACGACGGCAATAATGATGTTATTATTATTTTAATTAATATATCACAATAAATATATTAATATTACTATTTAACTTTTTTTTGCTTCCTCCAGCTTCTAGTATGGTATTCTTGTAATTTTTTGGGGGTGGGGGGGGTCGTAGGTGGACCTATGCTTTCATTAGTGGAAGAACTCCCTTAGAATTAGTTACATGAAATCTCAATTTTCTGAGGTTAAGTGACTTGCAGACAATCACACCGCACTTGAACCCAGCTCTTCCTGATTCCAAGAATAACCTCTGTATATTAGCAACTAATATGTCTGTTGATATGAATGTTGTTATTTGTAAGTTATATATTATATTGTACATTATATTATATTATTATATACTATCAATATTATATATATATATATTATGTATTATATTATTATATAACATTCTGCACATCCTGTGTAGTCAATAAACATTTGTGAACTAAAAAAAAAATCCTTTCCCCCTTCACTTCCCTCTTCACTAAAAACAACGTATCTTTGGTGTGTTTAAATCCTTTCTACTTTTGGTGGGGTGCTTGCATTAAGCCGGGAGACCAGATCCCTTTTGTTCTGAAAGGTGTACTCCATTGTACCCATTTAGTAGTAGCAGGTAGGTCTGAAAGGACTGTTTGAACTCTATACTAGGTATTTTGGAAAGACTGATTTGGAGGCAGCTCTGGACAGATTGACTGGGGCGGGGGGGGGGGGGGGGGGTTGCATTCTTTCTTTTCCTGAAAACTATGTACCTGAGCATGTCAGCCACGAGCTCCTATATTTTATTTTCACTATGAAAGAAAGACAGAAAGAAAGAGAGAGAGGGAGAAAGGAAGAAAGGAAGAAAGAAAGGAAGAAAGGAAGAAAGAAAGAAAGAAAGAAAGGAAGAAAAGGAAGAAAGAAAGAAAGAAAGAAAGAAAGAAAGAAAGAAAGAAAGAAAGAAAG